CCTGCAACTGGACGGATGGGAAGACGTGCACTGACTGCGAGAAGCGGCCACGTGACACACCTGGCACTGGGAGCGAGCTGCGCATAGCAGGCGCGCTTTTAAAGGGACAGTGGGAGCAAAAAATAAAAAAGGTCTCCCATTGGCCCATGTCATTCCACATTCCCCATACACTCATGTTTTGGGGGCGTGGATATGATAAGGGCCAATTAAATTAAACTATTAGTTATTTATACTCACCTTTCCCTTAACTCCCTGCCCTATCGTGGTTTCTGATTCAGTTCCCTTTAGTGCTTGCTTCGTGTAGTAGTGGTTTTTTCGTGCTTGACCTTGGCTTTGTACCTGACTCCGTTTTTCTCTTTATCCCTGCTTTGTCTTGTTCGCCGGTTTCCTGACTCCTTTGTACCAGACCTTGGCTAGTTCTTGTTTATGCTGTCTCTCTGTTCCCTTGACCTCGGCTCGTTTTTGACTCTGTCTTTTCCTGTCCACGTCAAAGTCCGGCCATTCTAAGATCCGGTAAGACGTATTTTGTTTTCTTGTCTCTCGGTGGACTATTCTTGCGTGTTGGGGTATACTGCCGTGACTGCAGGACACAGTTCCCCTCGTTTTCTGGATGTACCCCTAAACCTAGGGGTACACCTCTAAATTTTACATCCCCTGGTAGCCCTGATCTGGGTGAGTGACATACTCAAAAATCACCCAGATTGGACCAGGGGTTTGGGAAATTCACTGAGGTAGTAAAAAGACAGACCGCTTTGGAGGTAACAGCAGAAATTGTTACCATACGTTTTGGCCCTGCAGTCGGTAACAGAAAAATGGAATAAAATGCACGAACGGCTTGGGTTATGGAGACTGGGGAGGATTCGGATAAACCCCCTTGTTCGTGGGGTTCTTTCTACCGAACGGTGAACCGTTCTGTAGTTTCTACACTAATTGATGGCAGTGTGGAGGTCTCAGCGGTGTTTGCCTAGTTGAGTGTCTGATTTGGGTTCCAGACACTCAACGGCAAAACACTGCTGTTCGGGAGTTTAAGAAGGCCGCCACCACACGTTCGTCTCCCGAACGGCGGCCACCCAGAGGACAAAGCACACACTGCACTGATTGCCAATTACGAGTTTGCAACATTGCAACAGTAATTGGAGGCACACTTATTCCTGGGGTGGTCTGATTGTTCGGTAGTTTCACTCGTATAATAACTGGAGTGATTTTACCGAACAATCAGTCGAATGCTGCATACAACATACATACTTACGGCAAAATTAAACGAAAGCATATTAAAACACATCATTTTGTGGACAGCCCAACGCCATCCGCTACAGTTAGTAAATAATATGGTATTTCTTCATTGAAATTATATCCATGAATATTTGAATATTATTAACTATTACTATTTATATATAATTAAACATAATTATAGTTAGTTATATGTGGATGTATATATATTTGTGTCTGTGTTGTTGATATTAACCCCCCTTCTGCTGCAAACATTATGTCTTATCTCTGCCAATGTTTACATTAGATGCATTCCTCTGCTCAATGTTGAATAGAGTATAGAGAGAAAAAAATGTGTCTGTCTTTTTGTATTCTGTTACAAAATGGAATCACCTCTGTTCTGATGGTGCCTTACAGTATACATTTATAATTTCTTTCTTAACACAAAATGTCTGCCACTGTAGAAATACTGACAATACAATGAGAGATAGTAATACTGACTTTCCAACTAGCCCTCTCAAAAACCCTGGAATTACAGTAATTTTACTGGATGTCGAACAGTCTTAGACAATAGCAAAGTGATTTAATGAAACAAAGCATGATAAGATTATGCTGCATTGCAAGAATAAGGTCCACCATCTGCTGCCAACCAAAATTGTTACCACCACCATGTATTTCCAATCTTTTAGACTGCAAACTTATATGAGCAGGATCCTCTTCACTTACTGTCTCTACATGTTAAATATGTTTTGTTAGTTTTGTTTGTCTTTTTTTGCCTCTTGTACAGATATGGGAAATATTTTGGCACTATATACATGATTGCAATTGTCATATAACAGAACCAGAAATAGACGTAACAAGCTCTTTGCATTCTGGAATAATACTGCTTTCAGTTTAAACCTTATAATCCGCATACTCTAAACATCTCAGTTGCCAGACCTAGATTCCAGTCATAATTTATATATACAGGTGAAATGGGGAGGACCTGAAATAAACCAGAACATATAGAAAAGGTGATAATGCACATAAAGACACAACATAAGCAAGGTACATCTCTCAAAGCCCTGCAAAGGTTTTTATAAAAAAAAGAGAATAGCGAGACAGACTTAATACAAATACAATACAATAGTTCTAGTATAAGAGCATAAGTGAGCACTATCCTGCAAAGTACTTCATTCATTCACAGACAATCACCTGTGTGACAAAACTAAGTACTTTATTTTCCCAGTTACTTTCCCTGCATTCGGTAGATGGATCTACCGAACACCGACCACCCCCTTGCTCATTAACTTCAAATAAACCCCAAACTTAAATACTCTCGCTTTGTGGCCGCTGTTTGTATCACCGAACAACACGTGCTGGAGAAAACAGCGGCCATATTGTTGCATAAAAACAGGCAGCGGGACTTGGTTGTCGAGTGTCTGGAACTCTAAGTCAGGCACTCGACCTCGCGAACACCGGCAAATACACACGAACGCCTGCTTCTTTTCATGACAAGCCAGTAGTGCGCTGTTTAGTAGGATTGTTCACACAAACAAGACAAACAATCACTACCTATGAGCCAAGGGAACCGTTCATCTTTTTGTTCATTTTGGAACTGCCGAAAGAACCGCTACCACTGATTCTAAGGAACTAATTTGGGCAGGCGCCATGTGTGCAATCGGTCACAACTTTACCCTGGTGGAGATTCGGTTGTGTTCATGGAATCTGAGCGCTATTTGGACAACTTGGGTGCTCAGATCCAGGCTATCCAGGGATATAATATCTGTGGGGGTTCCTCTATGTATTATGTGTATTTTTAATATTTTAGATTTTATGATTTGTAACTCTAGTGCCTGGGAGATAATTAGTTTAAGCAAAGTACACTAAATTATCTCCCAGGCACAGAGACTCCAGGGCATGTTGTGTTGTGGAAGTGGTATGCTATATCCTTGTTTGAGACCCCCTGCTGGGGTTCTGTGTATGTAAGTGGGCCACCTGGCACTAATAAAACATTCCTGTTGTACCCTTCATCAAGTCTTCACTGATGTTTGGGTATGCAAACAATGAACCGCTGGATTTATTCTCATGACTAACTTGGATTTCGGGAAAGTACGAATCAATGTATTATGCGAAAGGGCTATAATTCCCTAGCATTTCTGGATTAGACAAACGAATGGAGTATACGAAATACAAGGAGTTTGCTACAACCTGCATTGAGGTGTTCCCATCCAGGGCAACCATCAGAGTGTGACAACCATGACAGTTGTCACAGGCCCAGTGATTCTGAAGGGCACAGGCCCCACATGCCCAATGTGCACATATATATAGCAATTACCAAATATTATATGAAGTGGGGGCCCAGCACATGCTGTCTTCAGCTTCCAGATGCTCTCTTCATCCCTTGCGAGCCCTCAGCCATCAGAGTTTTACAGTTGGTTACAAGGCAACACCCCATGCAACATGCAGACTGGGCTCTCTGCAGTTGGATAAAGCTTCTGGAAGCTGAAGATCGTGTGTGCTGTGTCCCCTCTTCTCTATAAAGCACCAGGCAGCCTGCATAATTCTACCAGACCACCAGGGAGTTTAATGTCTGCCCTCACTGGTCCCTGTGGGTGGACTCGGGGGCAGGCACCTGTGGCCCAGACCTTGAGATTTGTAAGGAACTCTACAATTTCTGATGACAGCCATGTTCTTATATTCCCTAGATATCTTTATATCTCACTTTATTTTCACATTATGCATACCAAATGCAAGTCTTGGTTAAAATCTGAATGAGCCAATGAAATGTCATCCGTGCCAACTATAGTCTCATAATGCCTATACATTTCACTATGCCAACTATATTCACACTATGCCTAAAGCAATATCCTATACCCATTGCAATGTGGTTGTGCCCATTAAAAGGTAATTGCACCTACTATTAGTCTTCTGTGCCCATTGTAAATAGATGTGCCCTCTGTACTCCCACCAGGGCCGGACTGGGAGAAAAATTCGGCCCGGGCATTTTTTTAACACAGCGGCCCACTAAAAAGGGGGCGGGGCATAGGAGGTGTGTTTTGTCATCACCAATGACAAACACGCCTCCTCTCAAAGTGAGCATGTTGGTTCAATGCTCTTCCAGGGCAGACCATGCGCAGAGCTCTGCTGAAGAGCTCTAGCATGAGAAAAAAGTCCTGTATTTGTTCTGCACAGTGCAAGCAAATTTAATAACATGCTTGCACTGTCTTTCCTTGCAACTTGTCTCTGGTGTCTCTATAAATGGATACCAGGAGACAAAAGGCCAGGAAAGAGTATTGTGCATGTGTTTGGAGCCTGCTTGTGGTATTGCGTGTGTGTAGAGTGAGCTGGTCGTGGTGTGGTATTGTGTAATAAGGTCGGTTTTAGTCGTGTTGTGTTTGTGGTGTAATGTGATGCATATGTGGCTCAGGGACCCCCTCCCGCCCGGCTCTGGAAAGGGGTTAAAACTTACCTTTTTCCAGCGCCGGGCGGGGAGCTCTCCTCCTCCGATCCGCCCCGTCGGCTGAATGCGCACGCGCAGCAAGAGCTCGCATTCAGCGGTCGCATAGGAAAGCATTTATAATGCTTTCCTATGGACGCTTGCGTGCAAAGCACGCAAGCGCCTCTAGCGGCGGTCAATGAGACAGCTGCTAGAGGCTTTGGGGGAAGGCTTAACCCATTGATAAACATAGCAGTTTCTCTGAAACTGCTATGTTTATAAAACAATGGGTTAACCCTAGAAGAACCTAGCACCAAGACCACTTCATTAAGCTGAAGTGTTCTGGGTGGCTAGAGTGGTCCTTTAAGAGTGTTGTGTGTGTGTGTGTGTGTGTGTGTGTGTATATATATATATATATACACACACACAAACACACACACACATATATATATTTGGAAGTATTGTGTATGTGTGTGGTGCAGTGTGTTGGGGGGGTTCTGTGTGTATGTGAGGGGTGCAGTATGTGTGTGTGTGAGGGTGCGGTGTGAGTGATGGGTGTGAGAGTGCCCTGTGTGAGATGGGTGTGAGAGTGCTGTGTGAGAGAGTGCTGTGTGTGTGTGAGAGTGCTGTGAGTGTGATGGGTGTGAGAGTGCTGTGTGAGAGAATGCTGTGTGTGTGAGAGTGCTCTGTGAGAGTGCTCTGTGAGAGTGCTGTGAGAGAGTGCTGTGTGTGATGGGTGTGAGTGCTGTGTGAGAGAGTGCTGTGTGTGTGTGAGAGTGCTCTGTGAGAGAGTGCTGTGTGAGAGAGTGCTGTGTGTGTGAAAGTGCTGTGAGTGTGATGGGTGTGAGAGTGCTCTGTGAGAGTGCTGTGTGTGATGGGTGTGAGAGTGCTGTGTGAGAGAGTGCTGTGTGTGTGTGAGAGTGCTCTGTGAGAGAGTGCTGTGTGTGTGAAAGTGGTGTGAGTGTGATGGGTGTGAGAGTGCTGTGTGAGAGAGTGCTCTGTGAGAGAGTGCTGTGTGTGAAAGTGCTGTGTGAGAGAGTGCTGTGTGTGTGTGAAAGTGCTGTGTGAGAGAGTGCTGTGTGTGTGTGAGAGTGCTCTGTGAGAGAGTGCTGTGTGTGAAAGTGCTGTGTGAGAGAGTGCTGTGAGTGTGATGGGTGTGAGAGTGCTGTGTGTGATGGGTGTGAGAGTGCTGTATAAATGTTATTGTGTGTGTGTGTAGGGGGGGGGTAAATAAAAAAAATAAAAATAAAAAAAACAGGCATTATGTCCCCCCCTCCCTTCTTACCTTTAGCCTGGGAGGGGGGGTCCGGCACGCTGGCAGGCAGGGTGGCGGTGTTCCCTGGTGGTCCTCGTGGGTGAGTGAACTCTAGCCAGTGAGGCTAGAGTTCACTCTCGCGAGATCCGGTCATTGCCATGGCAACGCGCCAGATCTCGCGAGAGGAACCCGGCGGAGCTGCAAGTTAGAGCTCCGCCGGGTCCTCTCTCCAGCCTGGCTCCCTCTCTGCCCGCCGGCGGCCGCATGTGGGCCGGTCAGGGAGATCCTTGATCTCCCCACCGGCCCGTCGTGGCAAACAGCGGGGCCGGCGCTGGGAGAGTGCCGGCCCTGCATAGACCGGCAGGGGAGATCCTGGGACCTCCCCTGCCGGCCTCGGCCCCACGGCCACCGCGGCCCACCGGGCATTTGCCCGGTGTGCCCGATGGCCAGTCCGGGCCTGACTCCCACTGTGCCCCATCCATTCCTTTATTCAAATTGCAATCTCTTTTTCCCCACAACAATCATGTTGTATCACATTTGTGTGGATACACTTGAGATTTTTTAAGCTTTGAGTGTTTAACTATGCATGTTTGTTTTTTTTGTTTTTTCCTTAGCACTACTCCTCTGAACTGTATATCTGAATATTCCAGACAGATTCTTAAGGCTGCTAACTCCCTTCTTCTGTTACAATGAAGAGAATTGTTTGTGTGTAATTTTATTTCTCTTGCGGTATGTGTTGCTAGTTATTTACACACCACACTGTTCTAGGTGTAATCTGTGAAATAGCTTTTTGAGTAACATTTAACTCCCCTGTTTGATAAAACTGAGATTTATATTGAATTTGTGAGTTGTTCTGGGAACAGATAGATATCGGCCTCCCAGGAAGCGAGACTCATGTTTTTGACTTTTTTTGACCCAGAATGAGGTTAATAAGATTATTATGGAAGATTTTTATCCCTACCTTACAGGACATGCCAAGTAGTAGGACAAATATGTTTTGAGAACAACAAGAATCAGCTTGAAAATAGCTGATCTCTGCTTAAAACAAGAAAATCGCTTTCCCAAGTTTTATGATTGAAAAATAAAAATGTTTACTATTGCCATAGTCTGTAAAAGTTTATATTGTCTATAAATTCAAAGTGGATAATTACCTGTTCTGTATCTATAAACGCAGGTGATGTTAGACCATGTTAATCCTAGGAAGACCAATTGTGTTTTGCACCTGGGAACCGAATCTATGACAGCGTTCGGAAACGATTGACAGCGCTATGTATCAGTGAACTCATTACTGGTAATAACACTCAGTGCACCGCTCTCCAGGAAGAAATGAACACAGAAAAAGGTATAGTTTTTCTCATATATTAAATATTATTTTTCATTTTCAAGACACATTAAATGACCTTAAATTTGCCAGTGACACTACAGCTGGTTCACTTTATATTAAATTTAAATAAACAGACGTTATTAATGTTTGTGTCTTTTATTGTCTGTCACCTTACAAAATCCCTAACAGTATTCTAGACACTGCTCTGTATAAGCAGACGGTAAACAAGACAAATGGAGGTATGGTTGAACAAGCTCATTATCTAACTTGATACAGATGTAGTTTGGCTTAGAGTATCTTCCCTTGAGCTCAGGCTTTACAAAATAAGAAATACTCTTTTTTTTGTTTTGTTTTTTTAAATAGACAGTGTCATCTTCCTAAAATGATTCTCAAGTGTCATGCACACTATTTGTATGAAATGACTTGTGGTGTTTGTTGTCAGAATTCAGGTTTTAAGGTCACAAACTAAATTTCTCAATATTCCTGCTTAAAATCTAATCAATAGAAGATAGGTTACAATAATTTTAATTGAGTTATCTTTTCTTCCAGGAATTATTAGTTTTTGTTAGTGACAATTAGATGACTATTTACCTTAGCAAGCAATATTTAAACAAACGTACTTGCTATAACATACAATTATACAATACAAAAAATAATATAGATATTGTACTAGTTGAACTGCTAGCAAACTGTTTAAAATATTGGTTATTTACCCACCTGTCAGTCAATTTTCAACAAAAAACTATTTGTCAAGAAACAAATGACATGAAGGAACAAGAGAACACTTCTATAGGTGTTTTTTTTTGTTCTCTATCACAGCAACTACAGCACATGCATTTTAGTTCTTGAAACAAGTGCGTCTCATGCTTGATCTGTGAAGGCAAGCAAGTCAGAAATTTGGAATTATGGGAAGGACTGGCCTGCTTGAGGAAGTATCAGGTAGGTCAAATTCAGCTAAGAAGGTGCAGGAGCAAGGTAGGGTAAAGGGTAGGAGTTACATAAGTTAACCACCAATTTAACTCATCATTATGGTGAAATTGGAAACCTGGACAGGAGGTTTTTCTTACCAGCTCCTAACGCAATTCATTACACATTTTAAATTTGCATTTTTTTTTATATTTTTCTCATCTTATTTTTAGAGCTGTTATCAATTTTGATATACCTGTCATGACTCTTTCATTTTAAATGCGCCGGTTGGGTCAAGCAATACTTTATATCATTGTTGAAGGAGTGACGATGAACATGATTTATGGATAATGGGGTCACTTTGAAATTTTAGTGGAGTGAGGACAGTTCCAGTAGTGCAGAATTATTTCTTCTTATGATGATATGTTCCTTAACATATAATCATCATCATCCCAGAACAGACATCTTCATCCCATTGTTTTGTTGGACGCTTGATTATTGCACTATAATTCTCTGGATGCACTTGAGCACACACAAGTCACACATAAATCATGGTAGTTACTTAGTTGCATAGTACTCTAGGTTGAAATAATACTAAAAATAATAATAAGTCCATCAAGGTCAACCTTGAAACCCATTCTTTTATGCTGTTGTTCCAAAAGAAGACAAACAAAACAATTGTAGCCATTTCCAATTATCCTTCTTGATAATGGCAATCAGATTTCTCCTTTGATCAACAACCTGTTCACATAGATATCAATTATAGCCTTGAATATTCTGTTTTTACAATTAAAGCTTTTAGTGATTCCTATTGACTGTGTTACAACCACCATGCATGTCATACAAACGCAAATATAAACGAAGGTAAAATATAACATAACTAATAGTTACTTTTTTGTTAGCCACCACAATGGACCGTTAATTATGAGGTGACAGTTCTTCTTGACAATGAACCTGTAGATGACTGTTAAACATTTTACAGATCCTTTAAACACTGAATATAGTTAGCCATCATACATGGGGAACATGGATTTTATGTAAATTGTAAAAAATAGGACAATCGCCCTGATGTATTTTAGAATGCATGTAAAAATACTACTCTCTGGCATCTAATAACAAACAGATCTACTTTAAGTAGAAATGTCTGGAAATATGCATTTTCCACCCTTTCAAAGACCAGGAACTTTCTCTGGATTGAGACGTGACTTTGTGTGTTTCTAGTTGTGATCTTGTGTCATATTACACATGCAGCCATTGTCCTTCATTAACCCCTTAAGGACACATGACGGAAATATTCAGTCATGATTCCCTTTTATTAAGTTGTGTCCTTAAGGGGTTAAAAATATGACGTGTTTACACATTTATTTCTCTGTTTCATCTTTCAAATGGACAAAGGGTGTGAGTGTGGCCAGGGGCGGGGCTGTTCTAGGAAATTGTAGGTAACTTACCAATAACAATTTATGCAATAAATGTATGCAATAAAAATATAATTTCGAACAAAAAAGAAATATCTTCTTTTCACAGACTGTTTTCTAAATAAAATTTCCATTGCAGTTGAAAGACACATTTCCGGGAGTATTATTGCTGAGGAGCTCTGTTATACACTCAGACACACCAACAAAATGGAGCTCCTATAAAAGATAGACATTAGGATCGAAAATATGGAATTGTCCACAGAATAGTGTCGGTCCCTACTAAATAGGAACACTTTGTAAGTATGCTATACATCCAGTTACATTGAATAGGGACCATCACTTATTTAGTTTGGGTTCCTTGCTAAATCGTTCTTAAATTTCAACTTCAACATGTATGGTGTTGGGAAAACAAAATACCTTGGTGGAGATTTATAAGAGTCAGAAGCAAGAGGTGCCCAGTTCTAAAAGTGAAACAATCATCATGGAAACCTATCAAAATGTTCCCGTTGATTTAGCAAATTCCAACAATGATTGTCCAGTTTATGGA